TCAGCCCCAAGGTCATGACTCCCTGGCCTACTCCCTTCAACAGTCCCTGGATGTAAGGCTACATACGACCTAGGAGGGTGAGGCAACACACAATTATTTCTCCTCCAGCATCATCTTCTCCCCAAGCTGACATCACTGAGAGAGTCCCCATCAATCAAGCCTAATTCACATGAGTTATTCCCACTCGCGTAAATACATGTACCAGATCAGTCTCATACAACCCCCTTAAGATCCCAGCAAAGGTTCAAAGAGGAAAACCATCTCAAAAGAGCCATTTCTACAGCATGCGATGTTCTTTGAAGCCGCTCACAGGGCAGGGCAACCCGCTAGATCAGAATAACGCCGAACAGGGAGGCAGCACAGGGCCCTGTCAGGGCTGTGATGCAAGCGAAGGAGTGGACCACCTGCCCGGCCAGCATCCCACCACAGTCAACATCTGCCTGCTCAGCCCTCACAATGTCCAGCAGCTGGAAAATGAGCTCCTGGCAAGATGTTAGGCAGGCAACATGGCGGGGTGCTCAGTTAGGAGCGCAACCTGCTCACTCACACGAACCAGAAGTCTGAGAGGGACAGGGGACCCGGGCTCTACAGATGAAGACTTCAAAGCCCACAGACCCAAGAATGCCTTCTCTTGTGGGGTCACCCCCATCCAAAGGGCCCACGAAGGGTCAGATGAAAAGCCAGGGAGAGGTAGGGCAGATGAACAGCCAGGAGTGCGCCCACCAGTCACCAGAGACAGCCCCCCCCCACCCTGACAGATGAAATGAAAACCAACAAGCAGCACGATGCAGAGCTGACAGAGCACCAACATCTGGCCTCCATCTTTCTCCCTCCAGGTACCCAGGTCGCTGGCAGAGAGCTGCTGAAAAAAGAGGGAGTTTGTGCGCTCAAGAACCAGAGGACACATCCAAACGCAGCACACAAGCGGGCATGTAAGTGCAGACTGTCCCGAAGGGCTGAGTCTGTGAACTCTCCTGCGTTCAGCAGGGGTGGGGCAGACCTTTCAGAAACAGGAGCCACATGGGAGCCGTCTCTCAGTGAGTCCTCAGAGCACAGGCGCCCAGGGTCCCTTTCGAATGCAGGGGCCGAGGCTGAGGGCGCACAGAGACAGCCAGGAAGGTAGGAACCCAAGGTCCGGAGCTGGGAAATGGCCATTGTCAAGAAGGTTACAAGATCCCAGCTGCCATTGTGTCCCATCAACCCAACCTAAGCAAATCCACTATCATTATGTCAACTCTGATTCATCGTCATCCTATGGCAGTGATTCTCAACCTTCCTACTGCCGCGACCCTTTAACACAGTTCCCCAGGTTGTGTTGACCCCCAACCATAAAATGATTTTCGTTGCTACTTCATAACTGTCATTCTGCTACTGTTATGAATCATTATGTAAATATCTGACATGCAGGATGCATTTTCATGGTTACAAATTGAACATAATTAACGCACAGTGATGAATCACAAAACAATATGTAATTCTATATTGTGAAATATTTATTTCTAATGAAAAGTCAAGGAAATTTTGTCTTGAAGCATGGTGTAGTGTGAGTAACTGTCTTTATACCCCCGAGTACTCGTATGTGGGCGTATCTGCATGTGGGTGGACCCGCCTAGAGACGAATAGAGGAACGTTGTCTCGGCTCCTTAGACCATTGGAAATATGTGTTTTCTGATGGTCTTAGGCGATCCCTGTTGAAGGGTTGTTCGACCCCCAAAGAGGTCGAGAGCCACAGGTTGAGCATCGCTGCTCTATAGCAAGAGTAGAACTGCCCCTGGGGCTTTCCCTGTAACTCTTTACAGGAGTAGACAGCCTCATCTTTCTGCCCCCGAGCACAGCTGGTGGTCTCTCAGTGCCCCACACAGACCCCACCCCCCCTCCCGCCAAACCTCCCTCCCAGCCAGAGTCCAGAGCACTTGTAGCATCACACACTGGAGCTGTTTGGGTTGGAAAGGATCAGGGCCATGCAGTCCCCACACTCACAAAAAACCCGCCCTGAAAAACAAAAACCAAAAAGGAAAAAAACAACAAAAACCCTCCCTGCTCCAGCGGCTCTGCTTTTCCACCAAGGCCACGATGGTCAAACAGGGCACAGGACTGGAGTCTGGGGAGGGATGGGCATTGCTGCTTACGCTCATGTACCGGGGAGGAAAGGGGAGACTCAGAAGGCGTGTGAGGGACTGCCCCACAGCAGGGACAAAGGCGACAGCCACAGAGATGCCATTTGGCGCTCACTTCCCCTTCCGACCTTTAATAAAGCGCCGAGGACTTCAAGGTTACAGACAGCCACAATTCCCAAGAAGGGTCCAAAAAATCTTAGCCTGGGCACCACAACCTGGCTTCCTGCTGAGGGAAAGGGGCAGCCATCACAGAGCCCAGGCTTCTGCCCTGGGCACAGCCTCCTGAAAGAAAAGCCCAGGCTGGGCACCCACCCTGGGTGCCTGGGAGGCACAGCAGCTAGCAGATTCGAAATGCTGCCCTGTGGCGAGCAGTTCCATGTGCCTCCCACTACACCACCAGAGCGGGGCTTCAAAAAGCTTGTGGAAAAATAGAATTAAAAGATAGTGGAATTTCCCACACAGTTTTTGAAGCTCCCTCATATATAGTATGTGAGGCCTGGTGGCACTGTGGTTACGCGCCGGCAGCTAACTGCAAAGTCAGCAGTTCAAACCCACTAGCTGCTCAGGGGAGAAATGCTTGTTCTTTAATTACTACCTGTGATAAATGGGTTACGTGAAGACCCAAAGCCCATCTGTAGGCAACTGGACATCCCTTACATAAGGGTTGCGAGGAGGAGATGAGCCAGTCAGGGTGCAGTATAGCACGGATGAAACATACAACTTTCCTCTAGTTCTTTAATGCTTCCTGCCCTGCGCTTCCCAACTATCATGATCCCAATTCTACCTTACAAATCCGGCTAGACCAGAGAATGTACACTGGTACAAATAAGAACTGGAAACACAGGGAATCCAGGACAGATAAACCCCTCAGGACCAATAATGAGAGTAGTGATACCAGGAGGGTAAGGGAAAGTGGGGTAGAAAGGGGGAACTGATCACAAGGACCTACATATAAGCCCCTCCCTGGGGGATGGACAACAGAAAAGTGGGTGAAGGGAGACGTTGGACAGTATAAGACATGACAAAATAATAATAATTTATAAATTATCAAGGGTTCGGGTGGGAGGAGGGTGAGGAGGGAGGGGGAAAATGAGGAGCTGATACCAAGGGTTCAAGTACAAAGAAAATGTTTTCAGAATGATGATAGCAACAAATGTACTAATGTGCCTGACACAATGGATGGATGTATGGATTGTGAGGAGTTGTATAAGCCCCCAATAAAATGATTTTTAAAAGAAAAAAGAAAGGATGCGGATGACTTAGAAAACATACAACCCATGCAAAAAAATGGACAATGGAAGTGAACAGATCTTTCAGAAGCTACTCAAGGTCAATAAGTACATTAAATGATACTCCCCATCATAACCCACTCAAAGCTACAATGAGTTGCCACCTCACCCCTATTGGGATGGCAAGGATCCAAAAACTGAAAACAGGAGTTGGCGCCCCTTGGTAGTCCACAGGCCCTCTCCCATGCCTGGATCACAGGCCAAGGGACCTCTCAAGCCTGGGCTGGCTCCTTTCCCAGCGCTACAGTCTGAGAATCCCATTACCTTACAGCCACATGTCACTCATTTTCTTTTTGTCCAGGTGTTACCTGCCAGACAAGGCACAATGCAAGACAGGTGAGAGGCACTGGCCCCAAGATCAGCTAGCACAGAGCAGCCCAGCCATTTCCCCCAACGTCCTGTTGAGTGCTCCGTAAGGGGCACTTTAAGGGAGCAATGGGGACAGGGGGACCAGCGAGGAGGAAAGCCCCATGCTCATAGCCCAACAACCAGCCCAGACACCACCCCCAACAGGCGCTGGGACAAAGAATGACATGTGGGAAAGCTCCAGGGTCTGGGAGGGACAGGAGCAGACCCTCCAAACACGGGGAAAGGCTTTCCACAATTCCTCTCCCTGCACTATCAATGACCGGGACACTGCAGCCCACGGTCACTTTCGGATGCAGGGCCGAGACAGGCAGAGGGGGAGCCAGGGAAAGAAGCCACGCCGGCCACCTGGGAACTGGTGAGGGCTTGGAGGAGAGCAGGGAGACCCACCCACGGGGGCCAAACTGACCACCTAAGATGCCAGCAGCTGCAGGGTACAGAGGACCCCCCTGAGTGGCGAGTTCAGCCAGGCCCCAGCCCCAGAACGTCTGAGTCAGTAGGTCTGCGATTGGAGGGATGCCCAAGGACGTGCATTTCTTATTTTCTCAAGTTCCCAGGCCCCAGCTAGGAGAATGTGGGAGGCACATCAGGGAGTGCAGATCTGGTGCCACAGGAGAGAAAGGGTGCTGGCTGATGGCGAACCAGCAAAACCACCCATGGGCGTCCTCATTGTTCTCCAAGAGCCTCCAGCCCAGCATGACCTTGGGGGAAAGAAAGCATGAGGATGGGGCCCAGGAACGCCCTGAATTTAAACCAGTCTCCACATTCACCTACAGATTCTTGACGGGAAATGGAGCTTGAAAATCCTATGGCTCAATGCCAGACACTCTCCTAGCAGCGGACATGTGGCTTTGGAGACTTAAAATGCCAGGAGCCAGTAAATCCACAGCTGGTGTAAAAACTATGGGGCCTTCGGACGCCCTCAGATACCCTGGTAGTGTAGTGAGTAATGAGTTGGGCTGCTAACCACAAGGTCAGCAGTTCAAAACCACCAGCTTCTCTGCAGGAGAAAGAAGAGGCTTTCTATTCCTGTTAAGAGCAGCAGTCTTAAAAAATGAGGAGCTGATACCAAGGGCTCAAGTCGAAAGCAAATGTTTTGAGAATGATGGCAACAAATGTACAAATGTGCTTGACACAATGGATGGATGGATGGATGGATGGATGGATGGATGGATGGATGGATGGATGGATTGTGCTAAGAGTTGTATGTGCCCCCAATAAAATGATTTCAAAATAAATAAATAAATAAATAAAAAGAGTAGCAGTCTTGAGACCCACGGAGGCAGTTCTACCCAGCCCTATAGGGCCACTATGAGTCAGAATTGACTCGAGGATGAGTTTAGTGAGGTTTTGGTCTCCCTCAAGAGGAGGCTACTTGCTCCCTGAACAATACCCTATATGGGGTCACTATGAGTCAGAATCCATAGAGGGCAGTGGGTTTGGTCCGGCTCTGCAGGGCTTGCAGCAGGGTCACAGGCTAGGCCTCAGCTTCTCATCATTTATAAAGTCCCTGCGAGCACTAAGGGCACTGTCCAGAAAGCGCTGGGCTGTACACCACAAGGTCTCCGGTTCAAACCTACCAGTCACTCCTCGGGAGAAAGAGTTCCTATAAAGATTTACAGCCGTTAAAACCCTACACAGGGTCGCTATGGGTCCCAAGTGACACGACAGCAGTGATTTGTTTATTGAGGAGGAAGAGTCTCAGGATGGCGCACAGGGTTAAGCGCATGCCTGCGAATGGAAAAGTTGGCGGGTGGGACGCCCCTGGAGGCGCCTGGGGAAACAGGCCTGGTGATCTGTTCCCAAAGGCCTGGAAACATGGTAGTCTCGAGTTGTCCGGACGCAATGACAACAAGCCCTTCCCTAAAGCGTGGCTGCGGAGACAGGGAATCCCCAATAAACAGGCCACACCCCGCGGAGGGTACGTAGCACTAATCAGGAGCAAGTCTGGGCTCCGACGCAGACTTCTTGCTGGCCGTCCTTCCAGAACCCTCGCGGCGCCTCAGTTTCCCCTGTGGGAGAGGCGCAGAGTCCAAGCAGAGCGTACCCCGCCAGGCACTCACCTTGGAGCTCGAACCGACGAGCGGAGCGTCTGGCGGAAAGGCGGAAGGGCACGGACGTACTGGGAAGAGACTGGGAGATGGAGAGGGATGACGTGAGACAGCGAGGACCGACCGCTCAGGAAACCCTCCGCCCGCCCGGCGTCGACGGAAATGCCGGAAGCGGGGCCGCAACCCGGTAACCGTCCGCGGTCCTGCCGCGCCCCCTGGTGGCCAGGAGCGGAAATGCTGACTCAACTTTAACCTAACTAGTTGTCTTGTCGAAATGCTCGCTATAAAGTCAGTAGTTCGAAAACACTTGCCACTCCATGGGACACTAGACGAGGCTTTCTACTCCCGGACAGAGTTACCGTCTCGAAAACCCAGAAGGGGCAGTTCTACCCTGTTCTATAGGATCTATGACAGTGCGTTTGATTTTTTTGTTTGGAGTTGTCTTGGAAGAAGTACAGCTCCTTAGAGGCAAGGATGGCGAGACTTGGTCTCCCGTACTTTGGCCATGTTGTCAGGAGAGGCCAGTCCATGGAGAATGATATCACATTCGATAAAGTAGAGAGGCAGTGACAAAGAGGAAACTAAGGTGACCAGACGTCCCGCTTTTGGCGGAACAGTCCCGATTTTTTGCGTTTTAAAAAAGTCCCGATTTTTGGAAAGAATGCACGACAAGCTAGGGAACGTATTTGGTCCATATAGACCAAATTTTTCATCAAGAACTTCCCCCCTCCCTGGTCAGTGGTGTCCCGCTTTAAATCTGGTCACCTTAAGGTAGGCCCTCAATGAGATGGATTAGCACAGTGGCTGCAGCAATGGGCTCAGACATAACAGTTGTGGGGGTCCTAGAGGGCAGAGCAATGTTTTGTTCTGCCATACAGAGGGGGTCTTTGTGAGTAGGAACCCACTGAACCGCACCTGCAAACAACAATGCCAAGTTGGCCAGTCTGTAGGCTTAGAAATTAATCAGAGAAGTTTGGATTACATAAAGAATGTGGTATCGATATTGGGGGAAGGCTTATTAACATTCTGCGATATGCAGATGACACAACCTTACTTACTGAAAATGAGGAGGACTTGAAGCACTTTCTGATGAAGATCAAGGATTGCACCTTTCAGGACGGATAACAATTCAGCGTAAAGAAGAAGAAAAATTCTCACAACTGGACCAAAAGGTAAGATCATGATAAACGAAGAGAAGATTGACGTTGTCAAGGATTTGGTCTTGCTTGAATTCACAATCAGTGCTTATGGGAGCAGCAGTCAAGAGATCAAACGAGGCCTTGCACTGAGTAAATCTGCTGCCAAGACCTCTCTCACATATTGAAAAGCAAGGACATTACTTTCAGGACTAAGATGCATCCAACACAGATCATGGTATTTTCAGTTGCCTCATATGTATGTGAAATTTGGACATTAAATTTTTTTAAAAACAAGGGAAAAAATGATGCATAAACAATGGTGCTGGCAAAGAATATTGAAAGTACCGTGGACTGCAAAAGAACAAACAGATCTGTCTTGGAAGGCAAGGATGGTGAGACTCCATCTCAGACACTTTGGACATGGTGTCAGGAGAGACCAGTCGCTGGAGAAGGACATCATGCTTGATAAAGTGGAGGGGCAAGAAAAAGAGGAACGCCCTGATGGACTTGGATTGATACAGTGGCAGCAACTATGGGCTCAAATATAAGAACAATTGTGAGGATGGCACAGGACTGTTCTGTTGTACATAACGGGTCACTGTGAGTCAGAACCAATTCAATGTCACCTAACATCACAAACAACCACCCCCTCCCTCGTGCAAGCATTCGTCTATCCATCCAACCATCTATCCATCCAACTAGCCTCCTATAATTCTACTCACCCACTCATTCACTTAGGCAGAAAACATTACTTCATTCCAGGATGAGTGCTTAGCAACGTGTCTGCTTCCTATTAGGCACAAGACTAAGCAACAGGAGAATCAGTGTCTAGTTTCATAGAATATTTTCACCACTCTCTGAGAAATAAGAGCTAGGAGTGGAACACCTCCTCTAGACCTGAGATTCCCGTGCAGTGCGCCGCCTGGAACCAGGTGACAGCTATACTATCAGGGGAGCAGCAGCAGAACCAGGAGCCAGAGCATGGACTTCCCAACCCACAGAGCTAGCAAAGCTGAGTGCTTTGGGACAGCAGACTGGCTTGCAGAGTGAGGTGCTTCAGGCATTTAATTGGAGAAGTTGGGCTTGCTGACCCAGGGCACTTGAGCTGAATGCCTTCAAGTTGAGGCTTCCAGCGGTGGGTATGCCCCCTTGGGCATTTATTAGGAGACCTGAAAGAACTTTGTAACATGTCCTGTTAAACAACTCTCCCAAGCATTTCTCACCGGCATTATAACTCATTGACTTCCTTAATAAACCCTTTCATCACGAAAAACAATATACATAAATATTTTCACCCCTTCAGTCTGCCTACTCAGGACATTTTCCTTAGGAAAACACTACCTCCGAGGGGGTTGGGGCACTTTTAGAAAGCATTTGGGTGTGCTGGAAAGATCCCCTCCCTGGCTTTGCTTTCATTTGTTCTGAAGGCGTCGTCTCTTGGACACCGATTTGTTATTCAAAGAGCAATCGTCTGTGAAGGGAGCCATGGTGTGAGCCCCTGTGGCTTGTCTTCCGTGGAACTTCAGTCCGCCAGAGGCCAGTAGCTCTCTCGTCTGTTCAGATCGCACCTGTGAGCACGGCACCGAGTGTAGAAGCTGGTGCAGTTGATCGAGTATTCTGTCCATAGACTTATGTCTGCTGTTCCCAGGCTAAAATGTTGTTCAAATCACCTGGAACGGGAATGGGCAGGAGAGGAGCCTGAAGAGGTGGGTAGGAGGCAGGGGACAAATCCTTGGCCAAACTTCAACCATGAAGGAAATAGAATTGCGGGGCTAGAGAGTCTCCTCAGGCTGCCTTGACCAAGTACATCAACCGAGTGACTTGAAAGAAATGCACTGCTTCACAGGTCTACAGGCTGCAAGTTCAAAACCAAGGCATCAGCAGGGCCATGCCCTCTGCAGAGGCTCCAGTGCAGCGGTTCTCAACCTGTGGGTCTCGACCCCGTCGGGGGTCAAATGACTTTCACAGGCATCACATCACCGAAGACCATTGAGAAACACACATATTTCACAATATGGAATTACATATTATTTTGTGATTAATCACTAAGCTTTAATTATGTTTAATGATGTTCAATTTGTAACAATGAAAATACATCCTGCTTATCAGATATTTATATGACAATTCATAACAATAGCAAAATGACAGTTATGAAGAAGCAACGAAAATAATTTTATGGGGGGGGGGGTCACCACAATATGAGGGACGGCATGAAAGCGTCTTGCCAGGAGGAAGGTTGAGAAGCACTGCTCTAGTGGGAAGAGTCCTCCCTCAGCGTTCGTTGACATACAGATGCCTCCCATCTCTGCCTCTGTTTGCACAAGGCCTTTCTCCCTCCCTCTGTGCCTCCTCTCCTCTTCACAAAACATCAGTGCTCCTAGCCCACCCTACTCCGCTATCACCTCATGGTAACAGGTAACCTCTTCATCAACCCAATTTCCAAACAAGGTCACGTTCATAGGTGGGAGGAGTTAGAATTTGACATGCCTTTCTGTGGGGATGCCCTTTGACCCACCAAACCATCACAAGAAAAGGGGTGCTGTCCGAGGGAGTCTCCAAAGCAGCCCAGCAGTCAAGAGGGCACAGCCATCTGGCAACTGACCCTGTTCCCATGCAACTTACTGCTACTCCGTCGGTTCTGATCCTGGAGAGATGTGGGCTGTGAGGCAGAAACCTGCTGGGGCAGAGACACCTGGTCCCTGAAGAGAGAAGGCCCCCATGCCCGCCCTCCCAGAGCACAGCCCCTGCTGTTTGCTCCCAGCTGGTGAAGAAGAGCTCATTCCTACCCTGGGCTGATTCCCGGAGACTCAATAAATACATGAGATGGCGCTGGGCGTTTTAGCTTATTGACTGGAGTCCGTGTTTCCCACATTTAGTGATCGCAAGGTTTCCCCTGCCTCTGAATAATCAGAAAATTCCCGAGGCCAGCCCGATCATTTTGGTGGTTGCTGGGTGCCCTCTACGTCATTCCCACGCCTGGCAATTTTATAGGCGAGGGTGGACTGGGCCCTCCCGTTTCCTGGGCTGGAATCTTCACAGGAGCAGGTCTCCATATCTTCGCTCCAGAGGGCTGACTCAGGGCTCAAACACTTTCAGTGAGCAGTCGAGCGCTTCACCATTGCACCACAGAGGCTCTGGGACACTTCTCTGGGAGCAGGGGAGAGAGATGTCTGATTAGCATGTCTAAAGAGCAAGGGACAAGAAGATCACTTTGCTAACACCCCAGGGAGTCCTGGTATACCACCCACTCAGCGGTGGTGAGTCAATTCCGACTCATAGCAACCCTATCGTACAGGGTAGAACTTCCCCTGTGGGTTTCTGAGACTTTAAATCTTTACAGTAGAAAGGCTCATCTTTCTTTCCTGGAGCAGCTGGTGGGATCAAGCCTCAGACCTGGTAGTTGGCAGCTCAATGTGTAGCCCACTACACCACCAGGGCAACTAGGATTCCTGATATAAAAAACCAAGTGTGCCTTTATGGGGAAAGCCCTCTTTGATATTAGACTATCACCTTGGATGGGTTTTTCTCCATCTCTTTATTTCGTAGCAATAATTTAAAATGAAATAAAACAAACAGTTGTTAGAAAAGTGGTATCACTTTTCAATGATCTACGTGGGGGATTCATTAGCTAAACTACTGAACACTGGTTTGGGGAACTATTTGAGGAACAGCGCCCACCCCACACTCCCATTTCTTTCTTGATTTCCTGTAAGAGCAGTCAGGATAGACCCCTGTTGGACAGACTCACTTCTGCTTCTAAGACCCTCGCTACGACAAGGTCAGGTGGAGGGAGGTGCTCCATTATCAAGTATTGAGTGAATGACTAAATGAATAAAAAGAAGGTTCACTGACTCAGCAGTGGATTTCCTCCTATTTTTGCTACGACTTTTCTGTCTTGGTGACCAATGACCAAGGTGGCTGGTGGCCGCGCTCTTCCCCTAGATGCAGCGGTTCTCAACCTGTGGGTGGCGACCCCTTTGGGGGTCCAACAACGTTTTCACAGGGGTTGCCTGATTCATAACAGTAGCAACATTACAGTGATGAAGTAGCAACAACAATAATGTTATGGTTGCGGGGGGGTCACCACAACATGAGGAACTGTATGAAATGGTCAAGACATTAGGAAGATGGAGAACCACTGCTCCTAGAGCCTCCTCAAGCCCTGATAGAGCCATGGTCCTGGCAGACGTAATCACCAACCCACTCCTGCCCAGGTCTCAAAGGGAAAAAATTGGTCCCCAACATCTCCCCTTCAATTAAAAAATTAAAAAAAAAACACTTTAGGCCCAAAGCAGGTCAAGTTCTGGGCAATGTCTGGTTCCAAGCTTCACCCTCAGGCCCCAGGCCCCTCCTTGAGAACTCACCCAGCGGGCTTGCCTGCACCAGTGAAGAAGGGCAGAGGAAACCAGTCTCAGGGAGCCCCAGGGGGTCGAAGTGCAATGAGTCCTCTATCTAGTTGTTGCCAAAAGATGTGTTTGATTTCCATCTGCCCAATGTTCAAGTCAGTCCACCTCTCTCTCCCCAGCCATGGGCACAGAAGGCATTCGCAGGGCAGGACAGCAAGCGAGTCCTTATCCTCCAGGGCCCCTGGCCCAAGGTGATTTCCACCTGGCTTGGTTTAGGATATTTAGGTCTACATTCAGAGATGAGCTGGGCTGCAATTGACTTTTATTGACCTTGTCTACTTTAAGGATCAGGGTTATTACGTGAACTGGTGAGTGCTCCCTCTTTTTCTAGGACTTGGGAGACTGTGAGACGGAACCAACCTGTTCTTTAAAGGCTGAGTAGAATTCATCTCTAAACCCACCTGAGTGTGGTATTTTCTTTGTGGAAAGATTGCTAACTATTGATTGAATGGCTTTCTGATGTTACAGGATTATCCATATTTTCTCTCTTTCCTTAAGACAATTTTCCCAAATATTTTCCAGGGATGTATTTGTTTTGCCCGAGTTTTACATTTTATGGACAAAAAGTCAAGCATATGTTCTCTTACCTTTTTACTCTCTATTCTTGCTCACTCCTGGAATTCTCTGGCTACATGTATCTCAATGAGACTGTGCTCATTTTCTGCCCTTTTAGTTTCTACGGGTTATTCATTTTACTTCATTTGTAAGGCCAATGAACATTTCTTGGATGGATGGATAAAAATATAGTTGTAAAAAGGATGGATATTTGAGTAGATGTAAGAACAGGTGACCTGATGGAAGGATGGATAGATGATCAGGTGGATGAGGAAGCTGATGCTTTGTAAATGTTGTCTCTGCAAATAGATGAAATGATGGGAGCCAGAATGGATGAATACTTGGATGGATGGATGGATGCTTGTTGTGTGCTATGGGGTTAATGATGACTCACAGTGATCCTATAGAACAGAGTAGAGCGACCCCATATGGTTTCCAAGAATGTAATCTTTGTTGAAGCTGATGGCCACATCGTCCTCCTGCAGAGTGGAGGACTCTGTTCCAGCAGGCCACCTATGGGTCAGCAGCCGAGCACTTCACCACCACACCATCAAGGTTTCCAGGCCGTAAGTGTTGTTAGGTGCCTCCGAGGCAGCCCAACTCTTAGCTATCCCATGCCCAATAGAAGGAAATGCTGTCTGGACCTGTAGCCATGGCTTTATTCCATCCCCCTGAGGGTCTTCTTCGTTTTCAATGAGGCTCTACTTTTCCAAGCATGATGTCCATCTCTAAGGGCTGTCCAAGGTAGGTGAGAGAGCGTTGCTATCCTAGCTTCTAAGGAGCACTCTGGCTATATGTATTCCTAGACCCACTGCCATTGAGTCGATGGTGTTTTGATGCTGTCAATCTTCACTGGAGCAGATAGATTACTTGATCTTTCTCCAGCGGAGCTGCTGGTGGGTTTGAACCGCCCACCTTGCCGTTGATGGTCCAACGCTTACCCCAAAGCGCCACCAGGGCTCTTTCTAAGAGGAGGGAATATGACGTAGTGGGTTGCTTGTTGGGCTGCTAACCGCAAAGTCAGCAGTTCGAAATCAGCCGCTCCGCTTGAAAAAGATGAGGCTTTATAGGCCGGTAAAGAGTTACAGGCTCAAACCCTCTGGGGCAGTGCTACCCTGCCCTGTAAGGTCGCTGTGAGTCGGAATTGACTCGACGGCAGTGAAAAAGTCAAGTCAGGATGCCCGCTCCTCTCCATCAGGGGGCGCTGCAGGACGGCTCTCCGCCGAGCAGCCGCTCTAGGCCCGGGCATCTGCTCCCGGCTGCCGTTCCCCCGACGCAGGGGGCGGGAGTGGTTTGGGCGCAGGCAGCCGGCCGGCCGCCGTCACGGGTGGGCAGCGTAGTCGTGCACCCCCCTACCGCGTCCCGCACCGTCTGCACGTCCTCGTGCCCTCTTCTGGCATCCCGCCCTTTCGAGTGTCTTTCCCGCACCGTCGCCGCTCTCCGGCGCTGGGGGCCGGGCTGCTGGGGTGAGTGCACTGCGAGGTGGACCCTCTGCTCCTCCTGCATGGGGGAAGCTGAGGGCGAGAGCGTGGAGGAGGGGAGGTCCGGCCGGAGCCCAGCGCCGGAGCCCGGGCCTTGCTCCCTGCTCAGTGCGCAGACTACCGCCCCCCCACCCCCCCACCCCGGTCCCTTCGCAATGCTCGGGGTTCCTTGAGTAGGGGGATTGTTGGATGCGCAGCGCCAGCCGCCCCTCTTGTTTGCTGCCGTTGAGTCGGCTTCATAAGCACCCCGTGCACAATACTGTGCGTATAGCAGAACGAAACGTCCAGACGGTGCCCCAAGTCGGTGCTGTGAACCCATTAATGATGCAAAACGGGGACCACAGCTAGTGGCGGGTCCCCAGTTTGAACCCAGCTTTCGGGGACACCGTTGTGGTGCCATGGAGCCCCTTGCTGCACGGCTGAACTCAAAGCTGCCGATCCTGCGGGGTTTTCTGATTTGGGGAAGTAGGTCAGCTGGTCGGGCTCACGCAGCCTCGTCTGGAAAGCTTCCAGAAATTCTGTTCGCCATCGTGGCAACGGACAGGATGGTGCTTCGGCCCTGTGGAGCGTGGAACCCAGATCTCCTGCCGAGAAAGGGGAAATACTACCGTTGAACCGAGCTTTCAGCACAGCTGCAGCCCTGAGCTGTTTGGCATTTGATCCCCCAAACTCATTTCCCCTAAGTCAGTGGTTCTCAACCTTCCTAATGCCGCGACCCTCTCATACAGTTCCTCGTGTGGTGGTGACCCCAACCATAAAATTATTTTCGTTGCTATATCATAACTGTCGTTTTGCTTGTTATGAATCGTCATGTAAATATCTGATAGGCAGGATGTATTTTCATTGTTACAAATTGAACATCATTAAAGCATAGTGATTAATCACAAAACAATAGGTAATTATATATTGTGAAATATTTACTTCTGACAAATAAATGAAATTTTGTCTTGAAGCATGGTGTAGCATGGGTAAAGGTCTTCACACTGGGTTCTCATATGTGGGCGTTTCTGCATAAAGGCTGACCCGCCTGGAGACGATAGAGGAGAGGTGTCTGGGTTCCTAAGATCATCGGAAATATGTGTTTTCCGATGGTCTTAGGTCACCCGTGAAAGGGTCGTTCGACCCCCAAGGGGGTCTCGATTCACAGGTTGAGGATCGCTGCCTTACAGCAAGTTATTAAAATTGCCTTTTTCCAGACCAGTTGGCCGAAGTTTAAATCCAGGCCCCCACCCCCACCCCCCACCCCGCCCCCCCAGGGTCTCAGCAGCACAAGAGTCTGGATTTCTGCCCCGGGTTTTGTACTAAAGCCATTCCTTTGCCCAGACCACTGGGTGCTCTCTGGGTAAGTGCTCTTTCTCTCTGACCTTGTTGCCCGCCTGTCAGGCACAGACAGATTGGGGGTGGGGTGAGGGGTGGGGAGTAGTGCCTGGCAAAGCCCCTTTGTAACTTCACAGACAGAAGCCTGTGGATGGAGGCTGGGTTTGGGGGTTGGAAAGACCCACATTCCCATCCTGGCACAGCCACTCCTTAGCCATGTCCCCTGGGCAAGTGGCTTCATCCTCTGCAGCATTGGCTTCCCATGAATTGGCAAAACTGCAAGAGCTCGGTGTGGGCATAGATCTTGTGTGTGCCTGTCCTGGTTTCTGAATCCACAGGGCTGACACGTAGTGTTTGCTGTTGGCTACCGCCAAGTTGGTTTTGGCTCACAATGGCCTGATAGGGCAGGGTCGAACATCCCCATAGGTTTCCGAGGCTTAAATCTTCACAGGAGCAAGTCAACAAGCCTTCCCTGGAGCCACTGGTGGCTTCAAACCGCCCAGCTCTGTTAGCAGCCATGTGCTTGAGCATTGGGCCACCAGGGCTCCTGGCACACAGTCGGTACACAAGAAGTGTTTGTGGGGATGAATGATTAAGCACTCTTCTCAGAAGTTAGCCCTGAATAGCGAGAGCTCTCAGGGCTGCTGTCTTGGCCCTCTCTGCCAGTCTCCCCTCTGCCTGTTTGCCCATCTGCCTCCCTTTCTGACTGGCTGATCCAGGTCCTGGATGGTGCAGGGAGAGGAAATGCTAAAGTGTTTCTTGTACCTGGAGAGTCCACCCCAAATCCTTCTAGGCCCTAGAATTTTCTCATTGCCTCCTTCCCCACCAACACCTTTACGAGCCTCCTGGTGCCAGGGGCAACTGGGTCATGGAGACTTCGTGCATGGTGCCAGGCTGCTTTCAATGTGACTTTAAGAAAAGAAAAGCCTGGCTCTGTCTCCAGGACGTATAGGCTGGCTGTGCAGCCACTGTGTCAGTTATTCCTCTGCAGGAAGTCGTCTCCGCCTCCCTTCCTGGCCCTTAGTAATGCAGGGTCCCTGGGGGTGGAGTGACTTAAGATAAGGGCGTCGGTCGGAACTTGTGAAATTGATGGTTGTCTTGTGTCTTGGCTTCTCTCTATGCTGGTCTTGGACAGCATTTGGGCCTCAGCTGCCCTTTGGTTCAATGCCTGACAACTGTTCCTTGTCCAGCAGCTGCAGAGCGAATGGAAAACAGGCGAAGCTGAGTCCCTCGTTTTGCAGGCCGCTGTGGGCAGGCCAGCTGGTGAGAGGTAAGGGCACACCTTCATCTGAGTTCCCTACTCCAGGATTTGCTCTTCACCCCTCGCCTGTTTTATCCATCAGAGACCCTGGTCCACACGGGGAGGGTTTGCTTGAGGCCTGTGGTTATGGTGGCAGGAGCCAGAGTTGTAAGGAAATTGGACAAGGTAGGGCTACACAGAGACTGAGCCTTACCTTTCCAGGGCAGACCCGCAGCTCTCCTTCCCTTCTGCCATCCCAGTCTGTCCCAGGTCCTGGTCTGTTCCAGGCAGGTGTGCACATTCCCTGACTGGCCCTGAGTTCCACATCCTGCTCAGGATACAACTTCTAGAGCTTCTGCAGTTCAATCAGCGTTTGCATGAACGACAAAAGCCCCCTCTGCTGACCCCTCTGGAGTTGTCAACACCTTCCCTTGTTCGTGAGAAACTCATGTGGCTCATGGGTTAATAACAAGAGCCCACCTTTGTCAAGCATTTATTATTGAGGGCTAGTAGCGTAGTGGTTGCAAGTCAGGCTGCAATCCAGAAGGCCAGCAGTTCGAAACTACCAGCTACTCCATAGGAGAGAGATCAAACTCTTGACTCCTATAAACAGTCCCAGTCTCAGAACCTCATGGAGCAGTTCTACCCTCTCCTCTAGGGTGGCCATGAGTTGGCATCGACCTGATGGCAGTGAGTTTTAGTGAGTTACTTCTGTGCCAGATTCACTCCACAAGTGGGATGCACTATGACCAGGTGGCACCGAGGTCGCTCATCCAGGGTCTCTTGTTCATTACAGAAGAGGCAGCTGGGCACAGGGAAGCCCAAGAAAAGTGTCCACACTGGTTAGGAAGTGGCGTGGACAGGGTGTCTCCATGATAAGGCCTGTTGACTGGGGCCCTGGGGTTTTGCATCCAAAAAGCGCACACAGGCTCCTGGGTGTGATGGAGGCTGGCTAGCAGAGCCGGCTCCCGCTGCGACTCTGGCTTCACCTTCTCTGACGGAGCATCTGGCCCTCTGTGTGCCTCTTGGTTCCAGACGCCCTCAGGGAACCTCTCCTCAAATGGGTATGTTGGCAAGGGAAGGACTGAGTTGAAAGCAGGTAAAGTTTTAGCATCAAATCCAACAGCACCCAAGTCTCAGTCGCTCTTCTGCAGCCTTTCAGCTTTGGGTCCTCTTTTTCATCAGCTAGAAATCCAGAATACAGGGAGTCTGTTTTTCTTGGGATCACATACCCCTGACTTCTACAACCCAAGACCCTGAGTTCTCTGTCGGAGTGTCTTCCCTGGCATCTGTGGGCTGGGCTGGGCTAAGCTGAGGGAGTAGCACAGCATGAAAAGAAGCTGCTGGGTCCTGGGCTTCGTGAGGCAGATTACTCCAGCAAAGCCTTGGTTCCCCCTTTTCCCCCTTGGGGAGAAAACGTATTTACTCTCTTGGATACTTTGAGTCAGAATCAACTCGATGCAGTGAGTTTGAGGCATAGTAGGTTCTTTGTTGGGAAGCTGACTGCAAGGTCAGCAGTTTGAAACCACCAGCCACTCCAAGAGAGAAAGATGAGGCTTTCTACTCTCGTAAAGAGTTACAGTCTGAGAACCCCTCAGGGGAAGTACTAGTCTGTCCTATAAGGTCACTACGAGTTGGGATGGACTCAATGGCAGTGAGATATTTGATTCATGTATAGAAGACAAAAGATCAAGGTCTGTAATATCCAAAGAGCTCATCCAAGCTGATGCAAGAACAACGTGATTCAAATATAGGCAATTTACAGAAAAATAAACCGAAAAGGGTCAAGGACAAAATGAACTAAAGCTCACCCTCACTTGTGATTAGGAAAATGCCAACTAAAATAGCATTTGCCCATCCTTTTGGCAAAAGTGCAAAAGAAAACTTTTTTTTTTAAATTTTTCTCTTTAAAATGAGATGTTGGAAACATTGTGTACCTCCGTTCCCTCTCACGGGGAGAGGAAGCTGGTCTCGCCATCCTGGAGGGCATTGCAACTAGTCAGTCACATGTTTCAAATCTTTAACTGCTAGTTCACGGTCTCCGTGTTTGTAACAGCAGACGTCTGGAAACAAGCCAAATGTGCTTCCATAAAGAAGTCGTGTTGAAAGGACTGCAGACTGCTAGGAGAACAGACAAATCTTAGAAGTACAGCCAGCGTGCTCCTTAGAAGTGAGGATGGCGAGACTTCGTCTTGCATACTTTGGACACGTGGTCAGGAGAGACCAGTCCCTGGAGAAGGACATCATGCTTGGTAAAGCTAAGGGGCAGAGTGGAGAAGGACATCATGCTTGGTAAAGCTAAGGGGCAGAGTGGAGAAGGACATCATGCTTGGTAAAGCTAAGGGGCAGAGAAAAACAGGAGGGCCTTAGATGGCACAGACTGACACAATGGTTGCACCGATGGGCTCCAACATGACAATGGTGAGGATGGTGCAGGATCGGGCCGTGCTAGACCAGTTGTGTTGTACGTAGGATCACTATGAGTTGGACCACCTCGACAGCACCTAATAAAAACCACAAAGATGTGTATACCCCTACCCATGGCCAGTTAGTCAGGCCCAGCTCATGGCGAGCCCAGGTGACACAGAGCATCACTGGTCCATAGAGGTTTCTCTGCATCTTTACAGAAACCTTTCTCCGGTTCCAGTGGAATGGGGAGAGTTGCCCTCTCTGGCCTTCATTTAGGATGGCAAAGACCTGAGCAGCAAAGGGGTAAGCCGGGCAGATCATTATCACGGTAGCCAACCCAAGACCCTCCTGTCTCCCACATCCCCCTGGCCTGTGCTGATCTCTGCGGGTCAGTCGTGACACACCCACAAAAGCTGCAGCCTGGGCCTCCCCTTCAGGCCATCCGCCACCCTGCCACAGACTACCCACCACCTCTCCTTTACTTTTTTTTTTTGCATAAGAAAGTAGTGTAGTCATCATGACAACCAGCATTTGGATCCGTTAGATACTATGCTAAGCTCTTCCCGATGCCTACCTGCTCTGTCCTGAGCAGGGACAGGTTGGCTGCTCACTCACAGCTTCTTGTCTGTTGCAGGTGAGCCTGTGGGGTGCAGAGGCTCCACGGGAGGTGTCAATATGTCGAGGCCATTCTCCACCAGCATGTCCTGAGGTAAGAGCTCTGGTTTGCTTTCGGGGTTATTGGGCCCTTGCATCTGATGTGCATGTGCCCTGGGCTTTGGGTGACGATGTTAGGAAACTGAGAAGTGAGATGAAGTTGGCATCCATGGACCCCCCAGATCTGCCCCCATCCCACCCCTAGATGGCCTCGATTACATCTAGCTCCTCATGAGAGCGCCCGGAGCAGCTGCCTTCCCTTCCTGGTGCTGGAGGTCTGATAGGAAATAGGTGGACCTGGACACCCCTGGTCTGAATTTTCCCTCTGCCAGTGAGCTGTAGAGGACTTTGTTGACTCCATCTGAGAAACAGAGCTGTGACAGAGCTGGCTTTCTGTTACTGCTGTTGAGAATGTCCCAGCACAACACTCACCAAGTCACCCATTGCTCCATGTGTTATAATTCACTGACGCGGTTTACATTCTTGGAGTGTGTAGACATTTTCAGCTTCGTTTTCAACACCTTTGAGGTGTTCCTCCCCTATTAGCATAAGTTCACTGCCTGCTCCCTAAAGCTCCAGTTTAATCTTTCAAGTTGCTTTTGTCCCTTTGCTCCTGTATAACCCAAACCCACCACCATCAAATAACTTCCTACTCAGGGTGCCCCCGTACAGGGTTTCTGAGGCTATCGATCTTTACAGGGACACAAAGCTTCATTTTTCTCCCAGAGAGCAGTTGCTGGATTAGAACTGCCAACCTTGCAGTTAGCAGTCCAGTGCTTACCCAATAGTGCCACCAGGACTCCTTGTGATCCCCTATAGATAGTCTTTAAAAGAGCATAATGATTAAGGCAGACATGTGTTACTAGCAAAATACCTGCTGTCTTCTCAAAGCTAAGCTATTGTTTGGTTTTAAGAAGACTTCGTTCAGCGCTTTTTTTGGTTTAAAGATTATCTCAAGGATTCATTCAACTGCCTTGGCTCCAAAAACTTTGGCATCCATGACAATTTGAAATTCTGTTCTGCATTTCCCGTACTTTGACCAGAATTTTCTATAGAATCTGGTCGGAATGTTCAGTAATGGTAGCTAGACATGAGCCAAATCTCCTGGTCTCATGGCACAGGAGGCAGTTATTCGTGGAGGCAGTTAGCCACGTGCCCTCCGGCCTCTCCCTCTCCGACTTTCCTTCTTCCTCTGTTGTTCTAGGCAAACAGAGACCCGTAATGGTGTCTTAGATGGCACCTTGAAAGCTTTCAAGCCCCCAGGCACCATGCAACCACCCAGGAGGTAAAACAGTAGCACTAAACATGTTATTAGGCCAGTGAACTGGATGTCCCATGAAACCGTGGCCCTGAACCTCCCAATCCCATAAGATTTCAGATGTGCATCAGCAGCTGCTCTTGGTGGTCGCAGTGGTTTAAAATATATGTGAGGGTGCCCCCCCCAAAAAAAAACAATTGTTTTTTTTCAAAGCTATGTATTTAATTTTTTTTTTTACAAAACAGCCTCTCCATTACCCTTTATACATTTATCAAATCTGTGATTCCATTCTTGGAAACATTTTTCAAACTCATCTGTTTGGATGGCTGATAGCACCTTCCTCATTTTTTTCTTCACCCCTCTGTTGTCATCAAATTGCCATCCTTTCATGTCTTCATTTGCGGAAATAAAAAGAAGTCACACGGAGTGAGGTCTGGTGAGTCAGGTGTGTGGGGCAAGAGAGACATGCTGTTACCAGTGCACTGAGATGGCTGTGTGAGCAGGTGCATTGTCATGGTGGCAAAACCAGTCCTGTCTGCCACAAATCAGGCCTTTTTTTGTTGCACTGTTGTGCAATCTTTTCAGAGCCTCTCAATAGAAAGCTTGATTAACAGTCTGACCTGGTGGAAGGAACTCCAAATGCACTGTCCCCCCAACATCAAAAAAAAAAAAAAGAGCATCGGGTGTTTTTTTTGGTTACCCCCTTGTAGCTATCACACAACGTTTGCCAGTTCACCTTTTTTCAGGTGTACGACTTACTGTGTGATTTTCTCCATTACCATCCATCCCCCTGGCCCTGGTAACTGCCAGTAGTCTTTGGCCGTCTCCGTTCACTTTGTTTCATTTTGTATGTAAGTGAGCTTGCTCTTGTGTGACGGCCTGGCTGATGGCACTCAGCCCACTGCCCTCCAACGCCACCCAGGAGGCAGCCCCCCATGGAGGTGACTCCTGGTGTCCTTAGAGCCCCTGGATTCCTCTGCTTCCAAGTACTTTTTGCCCAAAGTAACTCCTCCTCGTTGGAATAGTCCCCTGGGTGGAGGTCCTAGGGGGCTCCCTGGGGAAAGAATGGGGCGTGGCTGTGTTCTTCCTAATTGACCTGTTCTACAGCCCCTGGCATCTGCTTCCTTCCCTGGATCTCTCTGCCCGATCCCTTCCCATGGGAACCTGCATTCAAAAGGGACCTCGGACTGCCCGTGTCCTGGTCATCACCAATGCAGGGAGAGCGAGTGTGGAAAGCTGTTTCCCGTGTTTGGAGGGTGTGTACCTGTCCCTCGCAAATGCTGGTGCTTTCACACAGTGCTGCCTCTCTCCTGCCAACCCCTCCCAGCCGCGGGGCATCAGGGCCCCTGGGTGAGAGGCAGCGGTGGGGGCTTTACAGCTTAGCCAGAGACCAAGCTATGTGTGTATCAGGGTTTCCATACTTGGGGGCCAGGAGGCGGGTGCTGAGGACTATAGAGCATTTGTCCTACTGATCAGATGTAATGTCTGTTTAAGGAGCCGAGAAGAATTCTGGGTAACAAATAAGTGTCCTCTTGGGTGGCAGATGGTGATGGCAGAAGTCTTTCCAAGAGAGGAGACTTTTTGGAGGGAGAGAACCTGGGCGGGCTTGGCAGAGTGGTAGGGGACAGGAAAGTATTCCAGGAACAGGGAGTGGCACAGGGCACTTGGGGGCTGGCGTGATGCAGGCATCTGCTCGGGGAGTGTATTGTCTCTCTGGAAAGACAGATGTGCAGACAAGCGCTGCCAGTGGGCCTGCTGAGAAGGTGGCTCTTGACGTCCACCCAGGTGTGATCGTGCTTCAGTGTGAGGTGCCCTTCTGAGCGAGCTCCTAAGCGGTCCCTCTGTCCTTTTTGCATCTGCTTGCTTGCTCTGAAAAGGGCAGTTTTAGCTCTTTATGAGTGTTTTCAGTTTCACTCTTTTAGAGACACGGTTTCCTTTTCGAGACAAGTTTGGTGTGAATGAATGGTCCACTCATACCAGATGACTTGGGGCCCCTCTCACTAATGTCAGCCTGGGAAGGAAGGGTTAACAGGTGGCGGGCAGACACCTGTCTGACATGCGCTGTGGCCTCTGCCACTGCACCGCTCCCTGAGCAGTGGATCATTGAAGCAGACTCCACCGAGATAGAAGCATGGGCAATGGATGCTCTCAGGGTGATGCTCTGGGGTCTCTTGTTCCCCTGGAGGGGCCTCCTCATGGTCAGTTAGCGTCAAGAAGCTAAGCTGGTCAGTGTTTCTGCAGATGTAATCCCAAGCCTTTGACTTTGTCTTCCAGGTTATTTGGAGTTGATCTCGGGCACGGGAACAAGCAAGCATGGAGAGTGGGATTGTTGCCACCGTGCAGCATCGCAAGACCCTTACCCCGTTACCTCAGCCCAACATGGAACACCTGTTCACTCTGCAGGAGAAGGGCAGAGAGGAAAGCCTGGGAGCCCAGAATTGCGGCCCTTTCAAAGCAGTGCCACAGGCCCCCGCCCTGGGAAGTGTAGGCCCGGGAGTCCGTCCAGTGGCCAACCTTATCATCTCCCTACTTAGACCTACATCACTTTTTTTGTTTGGTTTGTGATAAAATGCAATATAAACGTTACCAGTTTCACCGTTTGTGTCTGACTTATTTAGCACAGCATTTTCAAGATCTATTCATGTGGCAAGCTCTCAGAAGTTCATTCCTTTTTATGGCAGAATAGTATTTCATTGGATAGGTAGACCACGTTTTGATCCATCAAGGCCACTTAGTTTGCTTCCATCTTTTGTTTTGAATAATGGTGCTCAGAACAGGGCTTTACAAGTATTGGTTTGAGCTCCTGTAGGTGTATATACCTAGAAGTGAAATGGCTGGGTCCTGTAGTCATTCTGTGTTCAGAGGGGTTGGGAGGAAGGAAGGAACTGGGAGGCAGTGGGATAAATGGTGCTACATGGAGGTGTTTGCAATGGATGAGATGAAACAAAATGTGTTAAATATAAAACTGATGATCCATGGTGTAAACTTTCACCCAATTCACAAGAAAGAAAATTTTTCAAGGCCAGTAAACACCTTGTGGATCACAACGATTCCACCTGCGACTGACCATGGAGATGACATGTGGCTGGGCGGAGTTTCCTGGATGTTTAAAAGGTGTGGCCATGAGACCAAGATTTCTGTCTCCACTTTTATAAGAAGGAGCTGTAGTGGCGCTGTGGGTTGGGTGTTGGGCTGCTGATTGCAAGATCAACGGTTCAAGCCCACCAGTGGCTCCGAAGGAGAAAGATGAACCTGTCTACTCCTATAAAGATTATTTGGCAATTATATATCAGATAAAGAGCTTATTTCAAAAATCTATAGACAACAAATAGAAATAACCCAATCAGAAAATGGGCACAAGACATGAATAGACAAGTTACTAAAGATAATAACCCGGCAGCCAACAATCATGAAGAAATGATTACATCCATTAGCCACAAGAGAAATGCACATTAAAACAATGAGATACCACCTCACACTCATACTCTTAGCAATATTCAAGAAAACAGAAAACAAAAAATACTGAGAGGATGTGGAGAGATTGGAACCCTCATGCATTGCCAGTGGGATTGCAGAAGTGTACAAACTATGGAAATCACTATGGTGTCCACTAAATCAAGTGTAAATATCTTAAGATCCTGCGATCTCGTTATATCCCTTGTAGAAATAAAGAACAAAACATGCACACCCATATTTATCACAGTAATTTCTATAATAGCAAAAAGATGGACACGAACAAAAACCCCTGTCTGAAGAGGAATGGATAAGGCAACTCTGGTAGATGCACATGTTCTACATTCTTAAAACAATTACCAGCCTTTCAGATCACCTCACAATATGGACAAAATGGAGGACATTGTGCTTAGCAAGAGGAGCCCCGAGTAGTGCAGATTACGCTTTGGGCTGCTAACCAGAGGTCAGCAGGTTGAATTCACCAGCCACTCCTTGGGGAAAAGATGAGGCTTTCTAATCCTGTGAAGAGTTACCCTCTGGGAAAGGCCCAGGGACAGTTCTCTGTCACACAGGGTCATAAGAGCCAGAATCCACTCGATGGCAGTGGGTTTGGTTTGATGCTTATCAAAGTTTGTCAATCTCAAAGATAAATATTTCGTGACACCAACAGGACAAGGGAAAACATTTTCATGTCAAAGAAAAAGCCTGAAGACTACGATAAGGCCAGGGTCGGGGCTGAGGGCTGCGGGACAGGAAGGTAAGGAGAGAGTGTAGGAAAAGAAATAGGAAGAAAGAATCACTTAAGAGCATGGGGTCAGAGTTGACTGGGATGCTGTCACTGGTTTGACCAGATGGACAGTGCAACTCCATAGGCTATGAGTTTCTTTATGTGTGGTAGAGCCCATAAATGAAATAAAACTCCATAGGCTATGAGTTTCTTTATGTGTGGTAGAACCCATAAATGAAAGGGGGCTTAGAAAGGAAAAGCATTTACTCCGAGCCCCAAACCCCAAACTCATTGCTGTTGAAATTATTCCAATCCATAGAGGCCCAGTAGGACAAAGAATTGTTCCTTAGGATTTCTGAGAGCTTCATCATTATAGGAACAGATAGCCTCAGTGCTCTTCCTCAGAGAAGCTGATGGGTTTGAACCACTAACCTTGTGGTTAGCAACCAAGGCTTAATCCACTGCTCCACCAGGGCACCTTCCTACTCACTGCCACACTCTGCCATCAAATCCAGTCTGACTCTTCGTGACCCTATCTATAGAGTTCCCAAGGCTGTAAATCCTTAGGGAAGCAGATACCTACCAAGGCAGGATTCCTTCCTACCTGGAATAAAACCCAAACTCACTGCCATTGAGTTGACTCTGACTCCTAGCAACCCTCGACTGGTCGAGATGAAGTAAGATGAAGCATGTTCAATGCATGACAGTCCTTGCCTCATCCTGAGTGCTCGATAAAGGCCAGCTATTTTTGGCTGATGAGCATGTTTAGCTTGTTGATCATTACAATGAAGAACAAAAATGCCATTCTGACAGACTCATCTGTTAGCATGACACCATGAACGCTTGTTTCTTTGTGAATTTGCTTCGGTGAAGACATCCCAATGGGGCTGGTTTGAATCATCCCACCATTGATTGAACTTCTATTAAATGCCAGACACGGTTAAGAAGGCCGTGTGTGTAATTACCTCATTTAATCTTCCCAACAACCCAATGCAGGAGATTTCATTATCCCCTAGTTTACAATCGAGGAAAGGAAGAGACCTGTCTCACACCTAACAAACGGCTCAGCCGGTTTCCTCTTCCTGGGTCCTATGTAGTGAAAAATGTTGCAGGCTGATTTCATAAATAGCACAAGCCTGAACATCAAGCTGTCACATGCTTGTTTGTGTTGGGAAACTGGAAATTGGGATGTTTTACTATTCTCTCCATCTGCTACAAATAGTCGCCTGGTATCCAGCCTTCCTAACATCTTTCCCATCAACCATCTCGAGGACTGAACTTGTGAACTTGACACATCCAGGCACATCCAGGCATGCTACAGCCAAACAAAAATATCAAGTGTCTCTTGCGCTACTGTTGTGCCTGAAGGAGAAGGTGGCCCAGTCCTTCAGAGCTTGAGGAAACCTGAGAAAGGTATTACCGCAGGTGGCACAAGAGCCAGGATTAAGTTCAAAAAGAGCTATTGATCCTAGCGAAAAACATCCTGGGACCAGAGGTGAGCAACTGACAGGAGATTGCCAAGCAGGACCAAGAGCCAAGAGAATGGAGAGCTGGACCAAATGATGGCTCACGCGCCTACTCAAGACACATGTATTAGGCGTTATGTGTCAATGAGCAACAATAGTAACAAGGCTGGGAATATGACGGTTCGATAGTCCAAAGGTCATCTTCCCAAAGGAGACCCAAGGCTGATTCCTGACCAATGCACTCCATCCACCCCCACCCACCCCCATCTGTCAGTGGAGGATCAAGTGTGGTCCTATTGCTCAACAGGTTTCAGGGGAGCATCCAGATTAAGACTGATTAGGAAAAAAACCAACCAGCTGGCAAATTTCTTCTGAAAATCATCCAATGAAAACCCTACAGATTGCACGGTCTAATCTTAGGGCACATGGCGTCACTGTGAGCTGTGAATTGGGGGTCAACTTGATAGCAGCTAACAGCAACGACCGGAGCCATACTGTTCCTGGTTGAGTTCCTGTTGGGGGTGAAGAAAAACTTCTGGAAATGCCCATGGTTGGTAGTGATGGTTACAGAACATGGTGGCTGTAATCAATGTCACTGAGCCACAAGACTTTGGCATCTTAATGGAAATATACATCTTATTTAACAGCTTTTCAGTTACAGGCAGAGTTTTTAG